TGTTCGGCTTACCAAATAACTTTTCATAACTGTACAGACTGTGAAATGACATAGTTTTAATGTCCATATGGAAAACATCAAGAACACTGTGATGTTTTCCAACACAATAAAGAATACCTTCCACCATGATTTACAAAACAAAATAAGATTTTAGTGGCACTTGTACTATATATAACCTTATGTAACTGGATGCTTCAGTGTCAATGAAAGATACAGTTACGCAAGGTTTAAAAAAAATTAAAAAAAACTTGCAAAAACTTCAGCAGGGGATTCTTACCGCCCTGTGCATCTTGTCCTCCAAATCCTGGTTGATCCTCTGAAGAGCTGCATAGCTACTCTGGATCCTGCAAAAAAAAAAACGAACGGAGAAGTTAACGCACTTAAAAATGCAAACTGCACAATATGACGAGTAAAGAGTGTTTTACTGTTCGTAAACCAAAACAAGCAGCGGTGATCAGCACATAAATTTAGAGGAATAAAACATTTACAACATCAGCGCTGACAGAAAGTCTCAGATGGGATTTGCAGGATATCTTAAGTTCTTACTTAGACTTAAGGATCACTGTGGTTATAAATCTGCTGAACTAAAATGCCACAAAAAGGGCTGATGATATGTTTAAGTGCAACACCAGGGGAATCTAACACATAAAAAGTGGGCACAAAAAACTTTTACATCCATAAATATTATATGAAAAGAATAAGGAAGCATGACTATGACTTTATAGTTAAATACCACATAAGTTTTTTCCTCCCTTTTAAATTCTGTTTCTTCATTTTGTGTAGTTTTTATCATTTTGTTATTTTCCCTTACTGATAATATTAGTATTTATTATCGGTTTTGCTCTTAAGTAGACCATTGCATTAGCTTAATGCTTAATGTAACATGCCCCTGACTTTATATTTGTTAACTTATTCCTCTTATTTTATCCTGTCACCTCTCAGCTCTGTATTACATTTTCCCATTAGCTCTCAGGCCAAAGAGAGTGTTGATAAACTAGCATTTATGGCTCCATTAAGCAGACAGATTTGGAGACTGTGGGCAGTAGAGATCAGAAGCAAAGACAGATCATAAAACAAAGGTCTGGAAGAGATTTGACAAGCTAAAGAGGGAGCATAAATGGGAATGAGTGAGTAGAGCTGACAGAGAGTGGCTCACACCATAGTGAATAAATAACTGTAGTAAAACCTGCCATAATAAGGGAGCACTGAGCACTGTTACTCATATTAAAGGTGCATGAACAAACTGAGCTTTTCTATGAAGTAAAATTGTGCAACTTGCGAAATATGACTGGCATGCATTGTATAAGGAGTGTTGAAGGACTTCAGGCCACCTAGGCACAGTTTATCAAGACATTTAAGTTAATCAAAGTACCACCTAAGTCACTGGAGGGGTCGTCAGTGTCGCCTACGGGCTCCCCCATGGCTGGCTGCCAGAGCTCTGGCTCTGCGACTGGTTCCCAGAAATGACTTGACTACGTTGACATCTGGCCTGGAGCTTGCGTTGTGGGGGAGCTGGCCCCCATGAACTGTTGCATCTGTTGGTCCCCAGTGGACAGGCCTGTCCCTGGGACTATGTTTTCTGGTCTATTTTGATCTCTCCAGTGCTTCCTAGTTTAGTTATTTGCCTTTTTAGCACTTGTTTTTTTGGTTTAATTAGTTTTCTTTCGTGTCCAGTCTGTCTTAGTACTATCTCTGTTCCCAGTATGTAGTTGGTCCCTTGTCTTGTATTTCTTCAGCTAAGTGTCTGACACACGCTGTGCCCCCTTCCTCGTGTGTCAATTCCATTGAATTCAGTCAATTCATGTGTATATTATCGTTCTGTTTACTTAATTCTCTTCCTGTTTCCTAAATAAATGGCTCGTCTTTTCTTAACTTGTATTTGCCTATGCATGTTTGCACTTGGGTTTCCACATTCCTTGAATCCCGACACACATATGATATGCCAACTCCTCAGATCATGACACATTCACTTTACTTTAATGATTAATATTCACTATTTGAATAAGTAAACCTTTGATTTTTTTTATATTTCAGCTGCATTTTACTCACTTTTATAGGTTCATGTTTACTGAACTGAAGAATCTTCAGTAAACATGTCCATCAACACTTCATCAGGTACACTGCAATAAAATGTTTATTAAACTAACAAACACTAAAACTAAGGTTTTTATTTCCTCTGCATTTTTTATTTAATTTGAGTTAATTTTCCCAGTTCACAAAATCATTAGTTTTTTC